TGTATGATGAAAATGGTGTTTCAGAATAGTCTCTCTACAATGTGAAGGCTGATTGGAACATGACTGGAGACAAGAAAACGAGGGATAAGTTTAGGATGAGAGGGGTGGCTGCAGTCTAACAGGTTCAAACAAGATGTTTTCCTCCAGAGTCGGTCCCAAAAATCAGGTATAGTCATGCACCGCATGATAGTCAACAACAGACCACATATACGATAGTAGTCCTATAAGATTATAATACCATATTTTTACTGTACCTTTTCTGTGTTTACATATGTTTAGATACACGAATATCATTGTTTTACAATTGCCTTCAGTATGCCGTTCAGTAATGTGCTGTACCAGGTTGTGCCTAGATGTGTAGTAGGTGCTACCATCTAGGTTTGTGTAAGCACATGCTATGATGTTTCCACAATGACGAAATCACCTAACGAACGTCAAATTTTTCAGAAAGTATCCCTGTCATGAAGCAATGCATGGCTGTACTAAAATTCATTTCGTGTGTTTACTTATTTAGGATAGGAAATACACACACATAGTACAACTTTCAAAAGGTACAAAAGGACATATAATAAAAATTAAGGCTGGGCACAGTGGCTCGCACCTCACTTTGGGAGGCTGAGGTGGGAGGATTGCTTGAAGTCCGGAGTTTGAAACCAGCCTGGGCAATATAGCAAGAATCTGTCTCTCCAAAAAGAAGAAAAATTAGCCAGGTGTGGTGGTGTGCACCTGTAGTCCTAGCTACTTGGGAGGCTAAGGCAAGAGGATTGCTTGAGCCCAGGAGTTGGAGGCTGCAGTGAGCTATGATTGTGTCACTGCACTCCAGCCTGGGTGACATAGTGAGACCATGTCTCTTTTTATTTTTCAAGTTAAAAAGTCTTTAATTTCTTTAAATAGTCTTCATATGTACCATCCACATTATGGAAAAACTGAAATATGCAGTCTGCATATTTCCCAAACACTGTCTCTTTAAAAAAAAAAAATTAAGTCTATCCTATCAGTCGGTTGCCTAGTCAGCCCCTCCCCTTCACCAAGGTTACTACTGTTACAAGTTCCTTAAGTCTTTCCAGAGATGCACACAAAAAAACACTCACACATACACACACATAAATAAAATAAACCTATTAATACAAATAGCAGCATACTAAACACATTGCTCTGTGCCTTGCTTTTTGTAAAAAAGTTACCTATAGTTCTTTGAGATCACTTAGTATCAGTATATTTAGGACCATGTAAATTTTGTTAACAATTGCATTCTATTCCTTTGTATGAATGTACCATAATTTTTTTTCACTAATTCCCTAGTGATGGAAAACTTGTTTCCAGTCTTTTGTGACTGTAAATAAAGTAGCAATGGATATCCTTGGTGTCAAAAGGTACGTACATTTTAAATACTGGTAAGTTGCCACTTAGTTCTTAACACAACTGTCTACATAACCTCAGCTTGTGCATCAGATAGAACGTTATCTCGCTATGGGCTATGCTTTTGTATTCCCATTACGTATTAGAGGGTTTTATATGGTGTATCAAAGGTACGTTCAAAAGTGCAGGTCTCGAACACACAATGCCCAAATATGGAAGGCATCTCAAGCATATTTCACAAGAAAGAGAAGCTCATGTTTTAGGGTCTCTGCCAATACCTGTGTATGCTGCTGCCTAAACTTTTAAGGCTTATCTCTGAAGGAAGAAACTGCCACTACTTTCTCAATTTTAGAGCTTATTTTGTCGCATCCTTCGTTTTAAAGTTGAGGAAACAGACCAAAAGAGAAGGGATTTGCCCAAGGTCATAAAGGATCTATATGATTAAGACTGGCCTCCTGATTGCCCATTTTTATGGAACAAAAGCTATTTCCTTTGCGGCATCCTCAAGTGATTTCCGAGATCCCATCCTTCTGGTCTCATTGAAAATTCGGTCTCAGGCCAGGCACAGTAGATTACAGCTATAATCCTAGCACTTTGGGAGGCTGAGGCAGGAGGATTGCTTGAGGCCAAGAGTGTGAGGTTGCAGTGAGCCATGATGACTGATGCCACTGCATTCTAGACTGGTAGACTGGGCAACAGAGTGAGACCCTGTTTCGAAAAGAAAAAAAAAAAAGAAAGAAAGGAAAGAGAGAGAGAAAGAGAGAAAGAGAGAAAAGAAAGAAAAGAAAGGAAGAAAGAAAGGAAGGAAGAAAGAAAGAAAGAAGAAAGAAAGAAGGAAAAGAAAGAAAGAAAGAAAAGAAAGAAAGGAAGAAAGAAAGAAAGAAAGAAAGAAAGAAAGAAAGAAAGAAAGAAAGAAAGAAAGAAAGAAAGAAAGAAAGAAAGAAAGAAGAAAGAAAGAAAGAAAGAAAGAAAGAAAGAAAGAAAGAAGAAAGAAAGAAAGAAAGAAAGAAAGAAAATTCAGTCCCAGGAAATGTCCAACTAATGCCTTTGTTAAGTGTCCTTGCCCACTACATTAATAGTGAAATTGTAAAAAACTATCTCCCTCTGCTGGTAATATGGTATAACTACAAAGCCTAAAATTACTGGGAGTCAGTTGCATTTAGGAAAATCAAATTAGGCTCCAAGAACAAGACTTAAGTTGATGTCTGACTGTTTCAACCACCTTGCTGTTGCCAAGACCCAGTTAGGATAATTCAATTAAAAGAATGGGTTCACAAGAGAATGTGTGTCAAGTAATATAGTCAAGTAATATAGAGAGTGAATAATACAAAATCCTTTATCCTTGAAGTTGGTGAGGTAGTTAACAGAATTAGTTGAGTTTTAGACACAGAGAATTTGAGCTTCTAGTGGCATATCCACAGGCAGATGGCAATAAGAAGCCAAGCTGTAGGAATCGGTATCTGAAACACCAGGTCAATTCACAGCTAAGAAGTTAACTTTGGGGGTCTTCACCATACAGTGGGTGGCTCATAGTACAAGCATCTAGGTAAGAACAGTGGACTGAGGACAGACCCGAGAGATGAACACTATTTCAGAGACAAGAAGTCATGAAACCAGAGAATTAGTGATCATGTCACTTAAACTTTTAAATAAAGACCAGTAACATTTAACACATGATTGCAATTTATGATAATAATCGTTAAGAATAAAAACTGCAAAATTTCACAACACGAAGATGTTACTTCAGAAAGATTAATGGCATATACTAAAAACATGAGAAAAAAACACATTCCAACTCAGATAATTTGATTATAGTAGCCAAATGCAAAACTACTGAATGACATGTTTTTAAAACTGAGAGGACTGGCTGAGCGCGGTGGCTCACGCCTGTAACCTTGCTCTCTGGGAGGCTGAGGCGGGCGGATTGTTTGAGCTCAGGAGTTCGAAACCAGCCTGAGCAAGAGCAAGACCCCGTCTCTACTAAAAATAGAAAGAAATTAATTGGACAACTAAAAATACATAGAAAAAAAAATTAGCCGGGCATGGTGGCGCATGCCTGTAGTCCCAGCTACTCGGGAGGCTGAGGCAGGAGGATCGCTTGAGCCCAGGAGTTTGAGGTTGCTGTGAGCTAGGTTGACGCCACGGCACTCTAGCCCGGGCAACACAGTGAGACTCTGTCTCAAAAAAAAAACAATAACAAAAAAAAAAACTGAGAGGACTACAGGAACATGTTGGTAAGAATAAAAACATATAATATTTGTTTTTTTCCCTGCTTTTGTGTTTTGGGAAAGAAAGGATGATTACAGAGAGAATTAGAAATCTTCCTCAGATATGGCTAAAACTCTTACTGTGGGTCAGGCACGGCTTGCTCTAGGTTTCCAGCATAGTAACTCGTTTAATCCTTACAGTCTACCTTTGAAGTAGCTACAATTATTATTATCTCTATTTGTTACACTCGGGAAACCAAGCCACCAAAACCTTAAGTAACTTGCATAAGATGACAGTTTGATCAAGTTGCAAGTGCCTGAAGTTGAACTTCGAAGTCCAAAGTCTCTATTTCTAGAGTAGGGAAAAATAAGACAGGAACACCATTCAGGAAGAAGCACAAATAATTTTTAAAGGTAATGCTAATGTATTTATGTCATTAAAGATCCAGAACTTATTTATTTTTTAGAGACAAGGTCTTGTTCTGTCACCCATGCTGGGGTGCAGTGGCGTGATCATAGCTCACTGCAGCCTGGAACTCCTGGGCTCAAGTGATCCTCCAGCCTTAGCCTCCCGAATAACTGGGATTACAAATGCGTGCCACTGTGTCTGGCTTTAGGAGAAACTTAGTAGCTGCCCGTCCCACTGATTGTCCCAGCCCAGGTGCAATACTATCAACTAACGTTTTTAACTTCACAGTAGAGGACATAGTTTTTTTTTTTTTGAGACTCTGTTGCCTGGGCTAGAGTGCTGTGGCGTCAGCCTAGCTCACAGCAACTCCTGGGCTCAAGTGATCCTTCTGCCTCAGCCTCCCGAGTAGCTGGGACTACAGGCATGCACCACCATGCCCGGCTAATTTTTTCTGTATATTTTTAGTTGTCCAGCGAATTTCTTTCTATTTTTAGTAAAGACGGGGGTCTCGCTCTTGCTGAGGCTGGTCTTGAACTCCTGACTTGAGCGATCCTCCTGCCTCGGCCTCCCAGAGTGCTAGGATTACAGGTGTGAGCCACAGCGCCGGGCAGAGGATATAGTTTTAATAGATGACTGGAATGGTGGTTTATGAGCAGGAAATATTGTAATCATTTTCACTCTATCAGATTATTTATTATTTCTATAACAAAATGTTTTATGTATCAGAAGATATTTTTCATCCTTTGTTGAGGTATAAAAATGTTTTCAGAATTCCGAAGAAATTATAATGTGCATTTAGGAAAACTACGACTCACTTTAAAAGAAAGTTTTCAGTAATTGCCTGTCCTTAGAAAAGATGGTTTCAAAGAACACACTTCCCGCGCTCAAGATGGACTTCCCTTGAAACTCCAATTCTGTGCGAGAGAGCGCTGTTGCCCATAAGAAAGATGGCAGCTTTCTGCCTTCCCTGCCCGCTTCCAAGATGGCTGTGTCAGTGATCTTGGGCCCTTCCCTGGCGCCTCTTCCGGGCTTGGCAGAGGGCGGGGACCATTGAGTAAAGTCTTGCGTGCCCGCGCCCGCGACGGAGGCGCGCTTCAAGGCGCAGGCGCGGGGAGGGGGTGGGGGAGGAGGGAAAGCGGCGAGTAAGATGGAAGATGAGGAGGTCGCTGAGAGCTGGGAGGAGGCGGCAGACAGCGGGGTAAGGAGGAGCCGCCGCCCCGGGGCAGGGCCGGGCGGGACCTGGCGTGAGGGAAGCCTCCAGGGAGCGGGTCTGAGGATGGTTCTCCCCAAGGAAGGGCCCCGCACGCCGGGCCGGGGGCGGAGGGTAGGCCCCCGGTTCCTGAGTGCCGTGAAGGCCTCTTAAAGGGGCCGCGTTCCATTTCTCCCTCCACCTTTGCCCGGTGCGCCTCCCTCGGGCCCCCAGATGTGCGCGTCACCCCGGGAGCCCCACCCGCCACCGAGGGCTTCTTTTCCTGGCCCCAGTGCCCGCTCCCTCGCCCCGAGCCCCTTTGACCCTTCCTTTCCGTCGGGCTCCCCCGCCCGAGGCACCATTTTAAAGTTCATGTGCTCTGATGAGGAGGAATACACCATGTGGGTGGGGGGACTTGCGCGGACTGGGGCGGCATGCCAGGTTCCGGAGAAGAGCAGGAGCAGGCAGTTGAAGGCAGGGGGGAAATTGAGTCCTCTGTGGGCCTCTCAACTCTCTGCTAAAATCTCCCACTATCCGCTATCCGCCACGGTGGGCGAGTCTGGGTTTTTTTTCTCTTTCACTTTTACTCCGAGAGCCTGTGACAGGCGGGTTTCCCGGGACCCCGCCAGAGCAACCGAAAGCTCGGCGAGCAGCCCCTCTCCCCGAGGACCCACCCCAAGGTCTGAGCCCCAGGGAGGGTCTCGGAGGGTGCTTGCCGGGGTCCAGGAGGAGGGGCGCGATATGCAAAGTGGCCGCATTCCTGGGAGAGGAGGGGGAAGTGCACTGTTCGACTTGTTTTTGGAGTTTTTGTGTTGCCTCTAGAAGCTGTAGGAAAATAGTTTATGTCAAACAGGAACTGCCAATTCTATTAGGTTCGTGATTAATTTGGTTTTTCAGAATTTGTGGTTCTATGGTTGGCCTTTGTGAAGATGGGGAGATGCCTATTTGGTCTCCCCGTGTTCGTGTCTGTGCTGTGCTGGTTCGACTGACACCCACCTTAAAGGTTTATGGGGAGCTGAGTGTACGAGGGTGGAACAGGAGCTGGGTTTTTCTTCCCCTAAGCGCCTTTTGAGGGTGCTTGTGAGCCCTGGAAGAGGCCGGGAAGTTGACCTTAGAAGCGGTAGGTGTATCTCCAGGGGAATGTTGAAACTTGGCTTCAAAGTTTTTTCCACTGGTTCAGCATTTCTCTCACGGTTGTTTATGTTTTTCCACTTAGCATAATCGGGAATTTGAAGGATTAATTCGTTCAGAGGGTATTTAGTAGAGTTCCTTGTGTGCTACCCATCTTTCTTGAAATGTGACGTAAGTGAAGTAAGTTAAAGATTTTATAGGGAGTGACAGGTGTCTGGCAGTTGGATATTTATTCATTCAGTCAACATTTTTGAGTGTCCACTATGTGCTAGGCAGTGTGCTTAGCAGTGACTTTGTGCCAGAGAATGCAGAATTTCCAGTAGAGGCGTTTATTGACTACCACTAAGGTGAATGAATCATCCAGACACCCCTCATGCCACCTCCTGCAAAAAAGCTTGGCCTACAATTTGAACGTGACTCAAATGATAAGTTTCTTGGGCTTCTTGGCCTTTCTTTGGTTTTCCTCGCCTGTTTCAAAGTGATATGAGTTTCTCGTGTTAAAGAAGTAGGAAGAAAATGAAAGGAACAAAAATGGATGTAGTGTTTGCCAGAAATTAGGGATTACTTCAGTTTTTCAGGGTGAGTAAGTCACTTAGAGATAGGCCAGTCCCCCATTTAATGGCCGAATAAAACCAGATATATAAGATTTAACTTAGGTCTTTCTGATGCTTGTCCAGCATTTTTTCTAATGTCCTTTACTTTAGTAAAACCCTTTAAAAGTGCCAGGTACAAAGATGGAACATAAACCTTGCCTCATTGGTATCAAGAGCAGTTCTGCCAAAATGCAGGTTCCCTTATATATCTTTTATTTAATTAAATCCTTGAAACAAACTGTTGAGGCATTGTCCTCTAAACCTCAGACAAGGAGACAGAGGTTTAGGGAGTAACCTGTTTTGCTCAAGATCACACAGATAGTAAGTAGGGAAGCTGGGATTTGACCCCAGGCCTGTCTGACTCTAGAGCTGGGTTCTTTTCTCTAGCATTTTGCTGCCTCCCTACCTGGGACCTATGGAAGTCTTGGGAGTTGGGTATTAGCTTTTATTTTTAATATGTTTGCTTTAGGATTATATTTGAAGGCTCTCTTCAATTTGAGTCCCTTTTTGAATTTCACAGTTTGTTGTGAATGTGCCCTTTTGAAAGAGGGAAGCCAAGGGAGAGGATATGTCCACATCACTGGGAAACCAATTGACTATAGACAGTACATGTCTTTCATATGTAGGCAATTGCATATGTAGAAGTTTTAGCTTCGTGTTATCCTGTCGCTGTAGCCTCCAAAGCTGTATTGAGCTTCGAATACCCAATCCCCAAACAAAACAAAACCAAAATTGGGTGAAAACTAGTAAGTGGGGGTTGACCAATTCTAATAGTGAACATTCAAACTCTGTGTAATCCAGAGGCAGTTCTAATCCTTGAGAGTAAAGGCTTTTGGTGATCCCAGTCCCCCAACACTACAAAAAAAATTTGACATCATGCTAGAATTTCTTTTTTTGTGTGTCAGTATCATTGTTTCCTGTATATCTTCAGAATGCTCAGTATCAAGTCCTATTGTGTCATTTGAGGGAAGACTGACTTTGAGAAACACCTCAAATATTCAGTAAATAGGCTGCTTTTTGCTTTTAGTTAGTATTGTGAACACTTATCTACTGGAAGATTGTTCCTTTACCTGTTTCTTCCCAAAGGGTTACATCCCCAATCAAAGTGTCCTTTGATCTGAGGAACATAACTTAAGATTTCACCAAGGAAATGCTTATTTAAAAATACACTGCCTTGGGGAGAAGTGAAAATGTAAAATCGAGTTAATGTTGATTCAGACTTTAAATTGTGAAGCTGAGCATGGTGGCATCTTCCTATAATCCCAGCTACCGGGGAGGCTAAGGCTAGAGGATTGCTTGAGACCAGGAGTTCGATACCAGCCTGGGCAACATAGCAAGACCCCATCTCAAAAAAAATCTTTAAATTGTATCCTTTACCTTAAGCAAATCTCAAGAGACAAATAGAATATTTTGTAATTGGAAGACATCTTCGTGCTTCAGAACAAATTAGACAACAGTTTACTCACTTTCTGATGGTTTGAAGCTAGTTTATATTCACTAGTTGCTTAGACAATTGAATATGCCCTAGTCCATCTTCTTGGTAATGAGCTAACTCGACTAGGGAAAGGCAGGTGATACATAAATGGAATTAGACTGGTGGTTATTATAAAGCATTGGCAACCTCTCTAATTTCCTTGCATATTAAAAGTTTCCTTTTATTCTTTTTCTCAAGGTCAGGTAGCTAGAGGGAAGAAAAGACATCTTAAGTAAGTTAAAGGATAACTGGCCTTCTGTATTAAGAACACAAATTTATGTTTTCTGTCCCCATGAACCAGTCATCTAAACATTGCCCCATCAGTGATGCTGGATGGTGTATAAGTCCATAGGAAGGTGTCGGTAAACACTGAATACGGATTGTGTACCGGGCACCGAGGCCTGGTCTAGTGGAGGAGTCAGGTGAGGCAACACGTTCTGTAGAAGAGGCTATAAGTGGGGTACCATGGTTGGGATCAGAGAAGGTCTTGTAGAAAAGATGATGCCCAAATTAAGATTTGAATGACCAGTTGAATTAAGCAGTGGTAAGTCGGGTAGTGGCAGGTAGTGTAGGGCCAGTGCCTGCATAGATGAGGAGGCTGTGAGAGATGAGTCTGCAGCATTGGGAGAGCTAAAAGTATTTCCTTCTGGCTGTAGGGAAGGGGGTTGGCAGGGCTGAGTGGAAAGAGATGAGGCCACAGAGGTATGCAGGGGCCAGATTGGGAAAGGTTTCCTTGTGCTTGGTTCTGGGAATTTGGACTTTGTCCTGAAAGCAGTGGAGAGCTTTGAACACTTTTTTTTTTTTTTTTTTTT